CAGTGTTGGAATTGGACCTTGTCCAATTCCCAGTATTGGACTATTAGACTTTGGACCTAATGGACTTAGTCCACTCCAATTCCAATTCCAAATGGACTATGTCCACTTCAATTATGGACTACGATTTTATAATTTTGGCCAAATGTTATTAATTCGGGCCGAATTTGTAATGCTGGCCTAAATTAATTTTTTTTTTTTATTCCGTGGCCTAAATTAAAATTTATTCGTTATAATAAATTATATAACAATTATTTAGATATGCGAGTTGGCTTAACCATAATTGGTTAAAGGTTGATCAATTGTGTAAATATAAAAAATTTTTTTTTTTGCGATCATCTTTAAAATACTATATAATGGGCCGTCGACAACATTTTTTGACTCCATATGTTGTGGTTCTGCATGCAGCCAAAAAGGCTAATAAGAGTAACAAATATGCTGTATGCCGAGCTTGTATTAGTATAATCGGAAAAGATGAGGCCTATAGATTAAAGTTTGCAAATACCAAAAAAGAATGTGCACGTCATATTAAAAATTGTCAAAGTTTTGCACAGAAATATAGTTCACAGCAAATAGCAAAACTTCTTGATGATGCAACAAAAGATGGTATGAAGTCAAAGAAAAATAATTCACCTAAAAAAAGATGTCGTACAGAACCATCATCATCATCATCATCATCTGATGAATCACCCGAACAAACTAAAGATAATTTGGAAGAAACGTTACCAAATTTGGAAGAGATCACATTGGATAATTATATATTCCGTCCATTAACATTCACTCAAAAACAAAAGCTTGAACAACTCTTATTAGATGTAACTGTTTCATGTGGGTTTCCATTCCGATGGATTGAAGATTCTGCAGTTAAAAGTTTATTTTACTGGCTAAATCCGATGGTTACATTACCATCCCGAAAAGTTTTATCAGGACGTATTTTAAAAGATGCAGCTGATAAAGTTTCTGTAAAATTACTTGATAATGCTAAAAATGACTTATTTGGTGTAACTCTTGCTTTTGATGGGTGGAAAAATGTGGCACGACAACATATTTTTGGTGTAGTTCTGGTTACATCTACAGGTGAAATGATTATTTGGAAAGCAATTGATTGTGGTGGTAATAGAGGTACTGCAAATGAGATTGTTCGAATTACACAACAACTTTTTATGGAATTGGATCAAAAAGATATAAAGGTTAATGGATTAGTTACAGATTCAGCATCAGAAAATGCTTCTGCGCGGTATGCTTATTTTAATTTATTTATTTATTTATTTTTTAATTTAAAATTATTAACTTTAATTAATAAAATATATTATTATAGAAAACAACTTCAATTACTTTACCGTGATAAATTATTCTTACCATGCTTTGCTCATCAAATGAATTTATGTGTTGGTGACATCTTTAAGGAATCAAATTCATTTACAAAAGTAGGTGAACAAGCTGTTGCAATTGCTAGTTTTTTTAGTCGTGCAAAAGTATGGATTGGAAAATTACGTGAAGAACAAGCTGCAATTTATAAAAATAAATATTACACATTAATTGTACCTAATGATACCCGTTGGAATTCACAATATTATTGTTTTGCAAGTTTATTACGATCAAAATCTGCATTAAAAGTATGTATTATTTTTTTTTAATATAATTTTATATATTTTTTTAATTGAATATTAAAAAAAAAAAATTTAAATTTAGAATTTAGCAACAAAAATTGAAGAACAGGATAGTGATGATCTTTATGATTTTCCAGAAGAACATCTTAACTGTATTTCTGATAATAATTGGTGGAAAAAGCTTAAAGAGTTAGAAACTATAATCCTTCCTTATTGTGCTGCACTTAATCAACTTCAAAGACACAATTCACAACTCCATGATGTTCTTCATTGCTTTGGTAATTTAGTTATAGTTTTACGTTCATTAAGTAATAATAATTTTAAAAATAAGCTTTTAAAGAAACTTGAAAAAAGGTGGAATGATTGGGAACAGCCTCTTTTATTATTAGCATTTTTACTTCATCCAGGATATCGTACTGATAAATTTAATTCACAAATTGAAACTTTATCTTTTCCACATCTTGGTAAATGGGTGACTTACTATTATTGTACTTGGTTTAATGAAGATCCAATAGTATTATTAGTTGAATTAGAAGCTTATCGACAAAAAAAATATCCTTATAATGATATTACTGCACGTCAATTTAATAATAATGTTTTAGAATTTTGGAATTATGTTCGTGGTTATTCTAAGGAGCTTTATCGTGTTGCTGAGCGTATTTTTTCAATTGCAGTAACTACAGCATCTCTTGAAAGGCTTTTTTCTACAATGGGATGGTTGCATTCAAAACGTCGAAATCGTTTAGCAGTAAGTATTTTAGTAAATAAATTAAGATATTATAACATTTTTTATTAATACTTTTTAATATTTAGTATGAAAAGGTTTTAGGAATGACTCAATTACGTGCTTCAATGCAACAAAAACTTAAACAAAAAAAAATTGATGAAGATGCATTAAAATTTCGAAATACAAATATTGCACCTCCAGTAAACGAAGATGAATATAATAATATTGATCCAAATGTATCAGATAATGAATCATCTAATGAATCAATTGAAATGGATACCGTTTCTAATATTCAAACTGAAGGTAATTGGAAAAGTCTAGTATTAAGATGGATTAATATGTTAGAAGATGAATCAAATGAAGAAAATAATAATAATGAGAGCGATAGTGATAGTGATATTGATAATAGAGAACTTGAAATTAGTGTTGCGAATATTTCAAATTTACCTCATCCTGCTAGAGATCAAAATGCTAAATGGAGACTTCGAGATATTTTTATTGAGAGTTTAGGAGAACCTAATTATTTGCCAAATTTTATGTTAGGTAATAATTAATTGGTTTAATGAAAACTTAAATAAATATTAATAAAAAACGATTTGCGGTATATGCTATAATTTTATAATTTTTTATGTATTATATATAAAATTATAATTGTTGGATAAAGTTTATAGTCCAATAGTCCATTAAAATTTGGAATTGGAATGGACTAAGTCCAATAGTCCAATAGTCCAAT